ATCAAGCTGAAACATCACGAAAGCGTGATTTTAATGACTATAAAGATGGTCAACTATTTTTTGATGAGTACTTATATAAAAATTCGTATACACCTCGCAAAGGGGGAGGATGGAGTAAAATACCTCAATCTTACATACCAAAATATTCCACCACTAGTTTTAACAGTCCTGATATATTAGATCTTGATTGTTGCGTCAATCCATTAAAAAAATTAGAAGACTGGAAAAATCGAACAGGATTACTAATACAAACTAATGAAGATCTAAAGAAATTACATCCTAATGAAATGTTTAATTTCTTAATATATAAAACAACTGGGGCAGTTTATCATTATCTTAACAACATGGATATTCCTACTAAAACAACGTTATATGGAACAACGGATGCGACAAATACCTTTGAAAAAGTCTTAAATGCAATAACTCATTAATTCTTAGGACGACATCCTCGAGAAGATAAACCAAACACAACCATCAGTCAACAAGCTATTTGGCATTTAACTAATCTTAGAATCTGCAACATGTGTTTCTTAGAACCATTTATTTGTGAATTCAGAACACACTATTATCAAGTCACCCCTTCGATAAGAAAAGAGCTAGATAAATTACTCTATGCTAAATTACCACCTAATGTCTCTGAAAAAGTCGAAGCTATCTTTAATGAAACTTTGATAAAAGAAGAAATACCAGATACATTAGGAGGACGAATATTAGTTTTACAATAATGACATAAACGAGCTTGTAATAAATAAAAACTAAAGAAACAAGCTAAAATTAAACTCTGTTGTGAAGAAACAATGGACAGAGTTGGAAAGTATGGATGTAATGATGATCGTAAGATCATTAAAACTCAAAAAAAATATAGAAATTATAAAAAATGGAGAAAAATACCTTATAAAGAATATAGAAAAAATAGGTTTAGAAAACCAAATAAATATTTCAGAAATAGAAAATAGTTTAAACAAAAATCAAGACAACAAGAATACTGTCCTAAGGGAAAAACAAATTGTAGATGTTGGTTATGTAACGAAGAAGGACATTACGCAAATAAATGTCCTAAGAAAAATACTAACACTAGAAAACAAGAAGTCCTTAGATTAGCTTACGATTGTGGTTTTGAACCAATCGAAGAAACAGATTTTTGAACTTTCCGATATAGAAATTATTGAATATATTTCAACCTCAGAAACCTCTTCAGATGAGTCAGAAGAAGGTATTAACTAAGGGCAATCCTAACGCAACATTTATTAAAATTGAAATAGAGAAGAAAAACTTCTTAGCATACATTGATACAGGGGCAACCTTATGTTTTGCCAAAAAATGAACCATAAAAAAATGGGATAAACTTGAAAAACCTTTAAAAATTATAGTGGCAGACAAATCTATCCATGAAATCTGGTATGTAAAACAATATGTACCAATAATCATTAAAAAACATATTTTCACAGCTAAAACAATCTATCAACATGACTCAGGACTAGATATAATAATAGGAAATCACTTTCTAAAATTATATCAACCATTTATCCAAAGGATTAGAACAATCAGCCTTAGATGTCCTAAAACAATAGACCAAGAATCTAAGATAATCACAACCAGAATAATCACAAAAAATGAAGTGCTAAAAATTGTACTTCAAAACCTCAAAAATAGACTAGAATATATACAGATTACCTATAACATTCTAGAGGATACTTTAGACCAGGTGTGTAGTGAACACCCTTTAGATAAAGATAAAAATACCAATCAAGAACTTATCGAAATTAAACTAAAGGATCCTAAAATGGAAGTTAATGTCCCTAACAAAATTCAATATACTCAACGAGATGTAGAAGAATTCCAAAAGGAATGTTCAGAGTTGGCTGAAAAAGGTATAATACGAGAGAGTAAAAGTCCTCATAGTGCACCAGCCTTTTATGTAGAAAATAATAATGAAATCAAAAGAGGAAAAAGAAGAATGGTAATAAACTATAAAAAACTAAACGAACAAACAATAGGAGATAGCTATAAACTACCTAGGAAAGACTATATATTAGAAAGATTAAAAGGTCAAACGTGGTTTAGTAGTTTAGATGCTAAATCTGGATATTGGCAACTTCGTCTACATGAGAATACCAAACCTTTAACAGCCTTTTCATGTCTACCACAAAAACATTACGAATGGAATGTTCTCCCATTTGGAATGAAACAAGCACCAGCTATTTACCAACGGTTTATGGCTCGTGTCTTAAAGGGTTTTCAATCGTTCTGTTTAGCATACATTGATGATATTATTATCTTCACAAATCAATCAGAAGAAGATCATCGTGAAAAAATCTTGATAGTTTTACAGAGAATAAAAGAAAAAGGTCTAATTATCTCTAAGAAGAAATCGAAACTTCTTCAAAGAGAAATTGAATATCTCGGTATGAAGATTAATAATTTTGGCGAAATTGAGTTGTCACCAAACACTAAAGAAAAAATCGATAAATTCCCAAACCAACTTGAAAATAGAAAACAAATCCAACGTTTTCTTGGATGCTTAAATTATATCAGCGAACAAGGATTTTTAAAAGATTTAGCAAAAGAGAGAAAACATTTACAGAAAAAGATTTCTGACAAAATCCCTTGGACATGGAATGATCAAGATACAAAAATAGTTTTATTAATGAAAGAAAAATGTCAGCATTTACCAAAATTATATAACCCTTGTGAAAACGATTTTATAATAATTCAAACGGATGCCTCTAAGGACACTTGGGCAGGATGTATGTTAGCAATACAAAATGGCAAGGAATTATTACAAATGGACAATTTTGGTAATGTCAAAATAGACAATAACGAGGCTACTGTCTCTGGCCAAGAGCCTAAAGATTATCAGTCTTCGGACAATATTATTGAACTATCAAGTTCTCAATCATCAGTTCCTTTCAAAAGTGATAAATATTCTAAGAAATTATGTAAATATATTTCTGGAACGTTTTCCGCCACTGAACAGAACTATCCGATCCACGAATTAGAGACACTAGCCTGTCTCAGAACATTGAAAAAATGGAAGCTTGAATTATTATCTACAAGGTTTGAACTTCAAACCGACTCTAAATATGTAACAGGTTTTTGGAGGTACAAGCTTCAGGCAGATTTCAACAAAGGGAGATTAATCAGGTGGCAGCAACAACTCCATTATTACAATCCTTATCTGAAGTATATCAAGTCCAGCAACAATCCATTCACAGACACACTGACTCGAGAATGGAAGGATTCATAAAAACCCTCATCAATCAACTAAGGCAGAAGCAGGAAAAGAGTGCAGCACTGGAACAACAATTTCTCCTTTGCAGGGGGGAGGAAGAAGCAATAATTCAATCAATCGACGTCATTCAGCAACAGTTAAAAATCAACTACATCAACGTCAGTACATTAACAACTAGCTCCACTAGTGGAAAGCCATCAACACTCACCACAGAACCTGCTGAAAAAGAAAAGTCGACAGCAACACAATCATCCACCACTACCAGCAATAATATACAAAAGACAACACGATGGGCAGACATCGTTGAACAAGAAGAAAAAGAAACAAAAGATTCCCACTATGAAGAAGACGACAGAAAAGGCAGCAAGTGGTATGTCATATTTAATGGACCATACCGAGGAGTATATCATAACTGGGCCATTGCTAGCCAGCACATCAACGGCAAACCAGTCCAACATCAATCGTTTAAAACAAAAGAAACAGCCGACGAAGTATATAGACAATCATACAAGGTGATGGCAATGAAAGAACCAGCCAAGAATCAAGAGCAACAATCGCAGAAACTCGTCATGAAGATTCCCAGTATCAAGAGCATCCTAACCACCAAGGAAAAAGAAGAGCAATTAAAACCAATCTTTCAGAAGTTCATATCCAACTGGGATATGATAATCAACTACGAAGAAAAACACACGACCATGGGTTTCTACCCCGTCAGTCGAGGAGGACCCAAAGCAGTAATCACAGAAGAAGCATCACCAGAACTCTCTTTTGAGTTCCATCAATATAGATTAATCGACACTATCTACACTACTACCATGAAGGTATTTGAATACTTCCCACAAAGAATGAGGAACGTAATCAGAAGATATCTCGAGCTATTTGCCAAGGAACGAGAAATATTTCTCAAGTATACAAGCAGCTACCCCGTATTCGATCAAGACAAACTATTGATCGGATCAAAGGCAGTTATCCTCATGGGAGTATCAAACCATGATTACCCTACCAGAGATGACCTACGAGACTATGAGAAGAACCCAGACTACCAAGTAAAGGGTCTTCTTGCAGTATGCAGAGCATTAACCAAAATTGAATCGGAAAGCCAGATTAAAGTCAATTACAGCAGCCCCGATGCCATCATCACCAGCAAAACAAGAGGAAACATGACCAAAGAAGAATGGGCAATCATTACAGATAAAATTAAGGAATTCACGGAAATTAATGGGAATCTGTCAGCCCTTCCCATTCAAATCAAGAAACAGTTATGCAATGAGCTTACTATCTATGAAGACCATCTCTGTGAGTGGTGTGCATCAACTAACGAAGACATCAGTGGACCAGCAGACCAAGACTGACAGAAGCATGTGAAGAAAAAGGAATCAAACAAAAATGGAATAAAGCGACAAAAGAAGGTTGGCCGACTCCTTTAAAAAAGTCGTGCATTATTGTATTTTATCAGCTTTTCTTATCGTTTCGCGCACTTTTGACGTGTTAGCTTTACGTCCCTGTCTAACAGACGTAAGCAATGACGTCTTTGTATTTCCTCTCAGCTCTATATAAGAGCAAGAGTTTTCAATGGAATAAGGCAGAACGAGTTTGGCCATAAAATTGCATGTTTACTCTCTCCCTCTAGCTAGCTAGTTGTAAGGCTTGGATCCACTGATCCTGGAGGCCACAATCATCTTCAATATAATCAAACGCACGGAAAGAAGCTACAATCATCAAGCGATCATCAAAAGGCTCAGAATTTCATCAGAAAAGCAAGTCAGGTATGTCTGATAATCCTACCTCAAGTTATTTTGACTATTTAAACAAAAATGATAATGAAAACTACTTCTTAGATGGTGTTATAGACATTAAGAAAATTAGAGAAAAAACTAATTTAACTATTTCAGAAACTCAGAACTTTATCACTAAGTCTTTTTTATCAAAACTCTTCGATAGAGAAAACATTATTAAATATGGTAAAATGATAAGTGAAGTAGCAGTCCCTATTGATCAAACTAAGGGTGATTTCCTAATCCAAGTAATAAACAAAGAACAAATCAGAAAAAGATTAGCTAAACTAAGATCAGAAGAACGAAATAAAATAGCTTATATTCATATTAGTACAATTCAAATTATCTTAAAATCAACCATGAAAATAGGAATTGACGCACCTATGGAATTAGAAATTCGTGATGATAGGCTCCTAAACGAAGAAGAAAGTATTATTGCTAAAGGAACGGGAAATTTAGGAGTAGGAATAATTAAATTTGATATTAACCTGCAACAAGGATTAAGCCTGGCAGATGGTAATCTTGACTCTTCTATCATTATAAAGTACGAATTAAAAAGAGAAAATTTTATGAAAGAAAATAGCAAACTATTTTCAGTAACTTATCAAATAAACTATGCATTAACAAATAGTCACCACAGGTTAACCTTCAAAAATAAGGAAGTAATTACTATAGAAGATTTATTTAAACCTTTAATTCAACTAGAAGCACCATTAAAGACGGTTAGAACCCAAGATCAAAGATGATTAATTAAAACACAATCAGAGAGAATTATGCATATCCTAGTAATAGAACAAAATTTAGAACAAGAAGAGATAACCAACAATCAAGTCAATAAATTAATTGAAGAGATAACCAATAATCAAGTAATAAATAAGCTAGAAAAATTGCAACATTCAATAGCAAATTTAGAGAATAAAATCTAAATATGCCTACTAACTATCATATAAATTAATTAATTGAAGGATTAGATGCTATAAATCTCACCTCAATAAATTATATCAGTACAGTCACACAAGAACTGACTTACTTTGCCTCAGAAATTGTAGAAGAACAAATAAGTATTGGAACCACAGAAACATTAGAAGAAACTATCTCTAAAACCGAATTAATTACTGATATAATAACCAGCTTAAACAAAATTAAACAAAGATTATTAAATCAGTAAGTGTAGTAGTAAAATTATTAAATCAGTAAATCTAGTAATAAAACATTAGTAGTAAAATTATTAAATCAGTAAATCTAGTAATAAAACATGGTATCAGAGCTCAAACCGATCAACTACCCGAATTATTTAGTTCACAAAGACTTAGATATTAGTTCATACACTATTGGATATCAGTTAGTATATACTAACAAAAAGACCAGTTAGCAGATTAACCAGGTTGGACTGGACCGACCAAAAATTTCAGATACTAAACAGTAAACCCCAAACAACAGACTATTTTATAATATAAAACAATTGATCCACGATTTTGATACAATCACTCTGACACTAAATTTTTTTGATAACTTGTGATACGGTTTCACATCTATTTATTTCCAACTCTTTCTACTCTTTGACGGGCAGACAGCCCATTTCATCCCTCCCCTCCTTTATTTTGTTTATGTATACCGTATAGTAAATGGTAAAGACTAATTATTAGCCATATCATTTTCACATTTTTTTTATTAGTCAAACCTATTGAATTATTAATAATTAGCCAAATATTCTGTAATGTATCAAAATATTAGCTATTTTTATGTTACTTAACTAATTTTGTTTACTTTTTTCTTAGTTAAATAGGCCCAAGATAGAGTCAGTAACCACTGGTTACTGACCCATCAGTAATCACACGCGGACCGTAGATTTGGGGATGGAGCAATCGTGTGGCTGGGCTGGATGGGGGGTGTTGAGAGGCATTTTTGTCCTTTTTGTATTTTTACTTTTTTTATTTTATTCCCCATTTCAATGCTGGCTTTTTCAATGAAAGAGAGAGAAGTTTTGTCTCTGCAACTCAACTTTCTTCCTTCTCTCTTCCTTTTTTACAATCTCTTTCCAAATTCTTTCTCTTTCTCTATTCCTTCTCTCTTACTTTTTCTCTCACAATCTCATTTTCAAATCTAGATATGCTCTCTTTCTTCTTCATTTTTTTTTTCTCTAGCATAAAAATTGTAGTCACTCTCTTTTATTGCATTTCTTCTCTTCATCAACTCGTTGGACTCACTTCCGATCTTTCTCATTTTTTTGGCATTTTGGTGTACTTGATTGGGGAAGAGGAAATGAGAGGCATCAGAAGACGATTTTTTTCTCTCCCTCCTTCTTTTTTTCCTTTTAGATAATATATATTGATATTATGACTCTATACCATATGATATTGGGTGGGAACGAAATATATATTGATATTACCACACTATACCCTATGGTAATTTATGGTATTGCGTGGTAACGAAATATATATTGATATTACCACTCTATACCATATGGTATTGTGTGGTAATGAAATATATATTGATATTACCACTCTATACCATATGGTATTGTGTGATATTACTACACTATACCATATGGTATTGGGTGGTAACGAAATATATATTGATATTACCACACTATACCATATGGTATTGGGTGGTAACGAAATATATATTGAATATTACCACACTATACCATATGGTATTGGGTGGTAACGAAATATATATTGATATTACCACACTATACCATATGGTATTGGGTGGTAACGAAATATATATTGATATTACCACACTATACCATATGGTATTGGGTGGTAACGAAATATATATTGATATTACCACACTATACCATATGGTATTGGGTGGTAACGAAATATATATTGATATTACCACACTATACCATATGGTATTGGGTGGTAACGAAATATATATTGATATTACCACACTATACCATATGGTATTGGGTGGTAACGAAATATATATTGATGTGGCAAATTCATACCATATGGTATGCTCTTATTTAATACCAGTCAATACCATATGGTATTATGGTATAGTCGATACCATATGGTATAGACTGGTAATAACTGGAAATTTTTTTTGTGTCAAAACAATATCAAAGTGGATATCATTTTGAAGAGCATAATTAATCTGATCTAACTGTGCAAAAAAAATTAAATTTCGACTTAAAACGAGTGAGAAATCGTCCGTTAAAGATTAAGGGAAGGAAAATTAAAGGTTTTTCTAGGAAAGAGAAGGAGGTCCTGATGTGGTCGGTCAAAAGTCCGTGTCAGCAATGAAGAGGGAATAAGTGTAATTTACCTTACTACCCTTTAGCATTTAATTTAAACAAAAAAAGTAACTGACACGTGGAGAGAGGAGAGGGGGTTACTGATGGGTTACTCACCCATTAGTTACTCACCCGATCTGCTCCCAGTTAAATACTAAATTTTTGGAATGTTGACTTCCATATATCTTTTTCAAGTATCATGTTGCCAAATCAATATTTCTAATAAAAATAGCTAACTAAAATTAATATTTGACGAATAAAAAAGAAGGGAGAAAATGTTTAGTTTTCACCCTAAAATATATATACAGTTTTTTTAATAATAAAAAACGAGGATCAAGTTGCTGGTTACGTTAATACATGTAATAACTTTTTAGACAAGTTGAAAAATAAACAAGTCGAGACTCATCGGTGGAGACCGGACTGGAGACATATTTGGAAAAAGGTAGGCAAGACAGTTGAGCTTTGTGTATCCAAATCCAATTCAAGAATCTCCTCCTCCTCCTCCGGCCCCCACTTCTGACGCGCTACTCGGCTCTATCGCCCGCAAAAATACATAATATAACAATGACTCAGCTGTCTGCCATTGAACACAACACGTCAATTATTATACCAATAGTTAACACTTAACACTAGGGCATTGGCATCTATCTCTCTATTCTTTTCCCAAGTGCAAACAAGACTTTTTATTTACCTCTCCAGTACGATAATAAGCATTCAATTCTCAACATCTAATTATTACTTACGTCACTGGCTGCCTTATTTTAATCATCTTAACCAACTTGCTTGCTTTTATTAGCCCTAGCTTACACGATTACGCGACAAATGACTCTCAACTTGTGCGATGACCAATATTACATACCAAGTGGAGAGTGGGGTTGGGACTTGGGAGGTCTAGGGGTAGGCAAACGGTTCGGTAAACCCGAACCGAAATCGAATTAAACCAAATCGAAATTGAAATAATGCTATTCGGTTCGGAATTCGGAAGGAAAATATGTATAATTCGGAAACCAGGGTTCTTTCAACCGAACCAAAATTCCGAATTCCCGATCGAAAAATCGAAATACTATTATTGCAACTTCCAAATGGTGGATTTTTATGTTTGTAGTTGTTTTTATATTTAAATATTTGAAATATTTTTTGACTTATGTGTTGAAATGTTTGATTTTATCATTGATGATGCATATAATTGCATATTTATTGTTTATATTAGGGGTGAAAGATAATTTAAAAGTGAGAAGATACAAGTAGCCTCATAAATTCGGTTTTGTGTTAAAAACCAAACCGAATTATAATTCGGTTTAAACTGACCGAACCGAATTATAATTTGGTTCGAATTCAGTTTGAGGTTTAGAAGAATTCGGGGACCCGGTATTCATAATTTCGGTTCGGTCGAAACGGAACCGACCGAATGCCCACCCAGGTCCCAACTCCCAACCAACCACCACTTTCAACTTGTATGCGTCAGATTTTTAACTTAACCTTCAACTAGGTCTAATTGTAGTCAAATTGATTATTATTCAGGGAGAGGGCCGCCATTAAGCCAAGCCCACCCACCTTCAGCAACCGTTGGGCTTCTATATCCCTATTAATAGTGTTCCTATCCTATTAAGAGTCTCAATTAGCCCAGCCCACATATCCCCAGCATCATAGTCCGCAGGCCCATTTCGAGTGACACCAACTGACCATGCAAGATGCAACTGAAGCAAGCAACCGTATGGATCTTGTCTCTAAATTAGGCGAGCGTGCTTAGCAATATTAAATCACAGCACCAGGCCGGCAGCAGCAGCATTCGCCACATGCAATGCTCTGCATATTCCCCATGGCCCTACTCCTTCTCGTCTCTATCCCGGTCTCGATCACGGGCCGCCAAATTAATGTCCTCTCTCCTTCTCAGGTTCTCCCAACTCATCGCCTACCGAGACTTCACCTTCTCTTCTCAGTTCTCACCATGTAGCTGAATTCAAGAACCATGACACACTTCTTCCAGCTTCGCCATAAATAGCAATTTCGGATCAATCCATCCTCATTCCCTGCAACTGCTGCAAATCTGCCATACATTACATATATATCACCACAACTCAACTACTACAACATTACCAAAGAGGGAGACATCTTTGCATTGCAGCTATCAAACCCCAAACTTACCTCACCTACAATACAAACCATTCCCCTTTCTCCTCTTATCCACATCACGCTTTTCATACAACAATATTACACTACATCAGAACCTCCTTCCTCAAACTTCGTTTACCATATCTTCTTACATATACAGTCACGGACATACACATTGCATCCACTCAAAGAGCCAGAGAGCTCAACCAGCTGCCAGCCATAGAGATAATGGCTTCTTTTTATATATCTCTTCTCGCATGCATACGCCTCCAAGTTCCAAAATTTCGTCCTGAGGAACGTGGGAAGCTTAACCTTCCCTTGCCAGTTTGTGATCTCGTTTAGTAAGAAGTAATACTACAGAGGCTGCTGCAATGTGACCACAATGGGGCTGGT